TAAATCTCAATTAGGATCGAAATCAAACATGTCAGATTTGGATCTGAGGCAGATCTAAAGATTTGATAATTGAAAATGCAGCTGAATCCCATCTAATTACAACCGTAAAGAGGGGGTATTAGTCAGGATAAGATAGGAGCTTTGCTGCATAATATACCTAGTTTTTATGATATATGAATGGTCCAAAAAAGTAGTAGTGCAACTCATATAACCAATTTAAAGAATTTTGGGTTAGGCTCAATTTGGAAGGAGTACAAATACAAATATGTAGATTTGCAAAACTTTATATTTTGTATGTATTTACACTGTTGTACTCTTTTTAAACTGAGCCTTAGTTTGGAAGGAATGTAAATACATACAAAATACATAGTTTTGCACTCTATATATTTATATTTGTGCTCCTTCCAAACTGAGTTGTATTTGGTTGCAATGCAAATAAATTTGCACTGATGCAAAATCATGATAGTACAAATAATTTAAATGTAAATTCTGACCTATTTTTATTTCAAATTTTAGCTTATTTTATTTGATTACAGTATAAATCAAATAAAGGAAAACATGAAACAGAATAAAGTAAAACTCAAAATAAAATTAAACAAGAATCTGTATTTTTTTCTTTTACACTCTTATGCAACCAAACACAACTTTAGGGACAAATGTTTGAACTGGGCCTAGCCCCTCCAAATTTTGACAAATACTCAACCAAGGCCGGTCTAAGTTGCGCCCCAAACCAAAACATTCATTAAAGGGATCCTCTAAACGGGACATAAGTTTAGCCCTACCGTCCATATCAGCTCTTTATTTCCAGGTGGAGACTAAGAAGGAACATGAAGAATCTTTTTGGTTTCAAACTTATTCGCCGTACGAAAGATTCTTGGGCCATTTAGGAAAGGTCATTACAAGACATGACCAAGACCCAACAAACCCATCCCTTGTTGTCTCGCTACAAATCACCAAGGCTTTCTTCATCTTTCCACATAGACCATGTGGATGCATCCAATTTACCAACATGACGAGAGAGAGAAATCCTTAGACAACAAAAGTTAATCTTCAATTCAAAGGCTAGGGGACTCGTATGTTGGGACTTCCCAACCAGATGATCCATAGAAACAATGTTATCTGCCTTGATGTTGAATTGGAGGGTGTAAATGAATTTGTCGATCTGAAATTCATTTCTATTTTGTCGGATTCAAATATCCTCTATTTCATTTTTTTAGGTCGAATTGAATCTACGATTTGTATATCCCGATGTGAATCCAATTCAATCCCTTTGCATTCCTAGAATTCGTAGAATTGGTGAAGTGAAGTTGTAAGGATCTCAATTTTTATGGGTTGAACAATTTAACCAACAGTTAGCAAGTAAAACCCTAACACCACTGTATTAAAACAGCTATACCAATTTTTATTTTCAAGGTTTAAAGTATTAATATAGCATAATTAAGTCCAACATTACACTCTGCATCCATTGGTTTATCAGCTACACCTTGCCGTAGATGCATAGTTTACACCGTTTCTCCGTTGTTAACTTTTTCTGCATTTGTTTTTCATCCTTCTGATCTAATCTATAGTTCACAACTTCACACGTTACCCCTCTATGCTCAGATCACATGTGCTTGAAAAATATCATAAAAGAATGATAGGTATAAATGGTCTTAGGCTGTGTTTGGAAATAATGCAAATAGAATGTAAATTTTGGTTCAGGGTAAATTTGCATTTTTGTTCACTTTGCTCGTGTTTGACAACATTACATTTATGCATTAATAAATGACAGAAAATACATTTTTCAATGCATATTTACATTGATAATAAAATGTAAAAGTACAGAAAATTTGCATTCAAGTGGCTTTTGATAAAAAAAGGCATTTGCTTTATTAAAGTTCATGTTTGCATCCATTACAGCTAAAAGTCCGTTTGGTAAAAAGGTAAATTTGTCAATGTAAAATTAACCCTACTTTGCAATTTATATGGACCGTTTTATATTCTACATATTTGCATCGTTTCCAAACATAGCCTAAAACTCAACCATCAGTTTGCATTTTGCACTTGTTTGTTTTTGGTGTAAAACTCTGCACCCGATCCACTTTTATAATTGTTTGTTTTCCATGTAAAAGTTACATCGAAAATCGATGTAATCATGTTTTTTGGCTGACTTTTATATGATGGAATTTTTCATCGACTAACTTTTACATGGTGGATTTTTCCACCTCATTCAAATGAGGCCTAATGCTCAATTTGGAAGGAATACAAATACAAATATGTAGAGTGCAAAATTGTGTATTCTGTATTGTTTTATATGTATTTATATTGTATATATTTATATTTGCACTCTTACCAAATTGAGCCTAAATCTCAGGATATATAAGTAATTAACCCAAAAAAAATAATTTATCATCAACATTTATAGAATTATATTAGTTTTTCTAATAATTAGCCTACATGTCCATATTTGATTCCTAAGTGTAAAAAACTGACTTGGAATCAAAACTACTTTGGCCACCTATTTCCAGGTTAGAGGTTCAATCGTTTAGTCCAAATGGATGGCCTGTTGTAATTAAAAAAAATAAAAATAAAACAATAAAAAACCATTGTCTAGGTCAAACAAGCCAATATTTTGACTAAATCAATAAATTTTGACAAAAGTACGATTCAAAAATGAAACAAAACTGGTTGCCTTTACGTTTTTTAGGGAGAACGACCAAACCATCTAGGTCATTCATGAAACCATGAAGTCGTGAATTTATAGAAGCTAGAGTCTAAAGTCTAAAGATGAATTTATGCAATTATTAAGAAATTCTCCGAGAGGCTAGAGGTTAAAGACATATATATGAAAATACCCCCATGAAACGACACACTACATGGGTACTTCCATGTCTTATCTTCATGGTGAAGAAATCTAAAATTTTGAGACGTTAAACATTTATGACCACCTTTTAGTTGGGGTCTTTCTCTTTTTGCATCATGAATTCATGATTTTCAATGTTTTTTCAAAAGACAATGATTTTCACAATTAATCATACTTGATGTCATTAGGTGATACCCACCCCCACCCTAACCCTACCCCTAAATTACAAAACTTAGAGCCCATGAGATTTCTTCGCAAATCAGTAAAAGATGGGAAGCCCATGCACATAATAAACATTCACTCATTGTGTTCGGTTTTGTTTATTTTTGTTGAATAAACATTTGTATTTTATTTGTTGATAAAATCAAAAAATATAATAATTGCAGTTGTTTATGACAATTAGGTGCCACTAAGCATCACTTCAGTGTAACAGCGAATAAACGTTTAGCCATTTGTGGAAGTTTCAAAATATAAATTCTACAAATGACTGGCATGCACATAAACCAAAGTTCACTTTTTACATTTTCGATGTATGCAGAAGAGCAAGAGAGAGAGAGAAAATACTAAGATGGCACTTATGTGGCATCATCAATAAATGTTTACTAAATGAACGTAAACAGAACCAAATGCCCTCCTAATCATTTTTCCTACCCCACTCTCTACCCGTTGTGATTTGATACCACACATCTGGGCTTCTTTTTGAGAGGGCTTTTGAGACATGGCTTCTTAGCATATTTAGCTGGGCCTCACACAAAGCCCCTAAAGTTGTAAAATTTTGAAAGTCAGTATAAACGTCCGAAATGCCAAAATTGGGCTTGTAATATGAAGCATGGTTTTAAAAAGTGACCCAAAAATGAAATCATTCTAGCCACCAGTTTTCAGGTCAATGGTTCGATCGCCCGATTTGAATGAACGATCCATTCTGATAAAAATTTAAAAATGGCCAAAAATGGTTGACGAGTTGATGAGTTATCAGTTCGACCACTCGAGTCAACTGGTTGTTGATTGATTCAATGGTGTTTGGCCAGAGACCAGGTTTGGGGTAAAATGGAACCGATTGACTAGACGGTTCCCAGGTCGAATGGTCCGACTATCCAGGTCAACGGCGGTTTAAAAACCACATTATGAAGTGCCTGTTTGTAAGGGTTTTCATGCAACTATTTTTGGTGTTTCGTGAGGTGAAAAACCCGGAACACCCAGAAGGCCAGAATGTTATGAAGCTGTGTTTATTGAAAATCTAGAAAGCCAGAATTACATTACAGAAGTCGCAAAATCTACTTTCCGACAAAGCTATCTCATATAACTTCACTGTAGCGGCTCGATCAACACAGCTCAATCAATTAAAACCCCTCCCAAACAGACTCCAAACTAGCTTTTCTAAACTATCATTTTTCAAAACACGAGTGATCAACCAAACCCACTCGGGTAAGGCAGCTCGTCCCAAACAAAGAAGCCATCCCAAATGGGCCAATTTTTTTGTTTAAATTCAAAAATGAAAATAAGATCAAATCATTTGAAGATCAAACGTTCATCGTTGAAAAACGATATTTTTCTTTCTGGATTTTCTTATTAAAGCTTTTTAATAAAAAATCAAGATTTGTGGTATAAATTATATAATAGCATTTTTATAAAAAAAAACCATGTATTGTGCTAAGCAAAAACTGAGTCGTTGTGTATTCAACGGACACAGAGATCTAGCATCTTGATAAAATCGCAACTTATCGAGGGTCACGATTCTCGAGAGACATATCTTATCTTGGAACTGGTAGTGTCTTAATATACTTCGACCAGAGCAAGGCAAAAGAAATCCGACAAGAGCACGAGACATTATAACACAACCGCAATTTCTCGTGAATCAGTTGACAGACGGGTAACGGTCCGGATAAGTAAGATATTTTTTTATTTTTTAATTTGAAATAATCTTGGATTATCTCCTATTTTATTCAGACAAAACAGAGGGTCGTCGATTAAGATTCCTATAAAATGGTATTTAGATATAGACCTACGTTAACTACATGAAACCAAAATGTATTGTATCAATCCCTTGCTAAAATTCTCCGATCCGATCAACCACTTCATAGTTCGAAGAAGGACAGCCTTCACTGTCCACCCAAACTGGGGGCAGATGATCTGACAGCTTTTTTATTTTTTTTATTTTTTCCCTCCCTTTTCTCAACGAGCGACGGAGCGAGCAGAGGACGAGGGGAGGAAGGAGGAGCGAACGGAACGGACTCGGTAATCGTATCTGGCGGACACGAATGTAAGATTCAGCTAAATTTTAGGACAGGTTAAGGTCCGACTTGTCAAGCGCTCTCTCTCTCTCTCTGGACTCTGCTTCTACACTTAAAAACATATAAACGAAAAAAGTGAGTCCAAGAGCTTCTCCGAGTGAGGAGGTCGCAGAGACAAGACAGGGATAAAGACACGGACAGAAGAAAACATGGTGAGATCCTCGGCCTCTTGTTTCAAGATCATTACATGCGGCAGCGACTCTGTTGATAATGATGACCTTCAATGGGCCGAGGTATTTGTTTTCTCTTCCAAGATTTTGGTTCTGTTGCTCGAAACTTCATGTTTTAGTGTTTTGTACCTTTTCCGATTTCGATTTTAGTGTTCATTTTGGAAAGCGTGGGTTTGGATCCGTTGGTTTCAATTGCATTTGCTTTCTGCAATGTTTGATTTAGTGAATACAGAACGATTTGGAAGTACGAGTAGGGCTTATCTGTGCTGTCTTCATATGATTTGTTGCTTTAGGTGGTTCTCTTGTTGAGTGAGACTTTTGTCTCTTGTATAAATCAAACGTTAGTGGTTTTCAGAAATGGGGAATGCAGATGATTAGATCGAGTCCATTGCAGTTTTGGTGCAGTTGACTCTCATGGACCGACTTCGGTCTCATTTTGACTTTTACGTCCGATAGGGCCAAGGTTATTTGCTTTCAAATTCAGTAGCTGGAGAACGCATTGTTGGATGCATGATTCATGAATACCTGTGTAATCGTGACCCGGATATTGCAGAGATCTATGATGAAAGTCTGGCTTTCGGGTTGCGAATTGACAGTGATTGCGATTGCCTTTTAAAACTATTTCTTATAAAATTTGATCTACATTCTCTAGATCTCTTTGTTAATTAATTGTCAAAACCATCTCCAAGGATCTCTTTGTTAATTTAATCTACATTCATGAATACTTGGCCAAAGCATTTTTGGAACTTTTTTACATGACCGTCAGTTGAGACTTAATTTCTCTGTCGCCTATTGATTCGTCTCTGTTAAATAATTTATTTTTCCTTCTTCTATCATTCATGTAGAAATAATGAAATTCTAACCACTGAATTTTGGATATCATATAACCGTAATTTGAATGCTTATCAAGCCACTTCTGTAAGACTGTAACCCTGTCTATTGAGTTTACGACCATTGGGGTTATATCTATATGTGTCTAAGGCACACATTATTGGATAGAATTGCATGCACATAGATGGATGGCAAAACATCATGATACTGGGAATGACAATGAAGTGAAATTGGATGCTGTTGAAATGGAAAATTCCCAAAAAGAATAAGATGGGGTTTCCGGATAATTTTAGCATAGTAATTGCCTGACACCTTTGTCCCACAACTGCTCAATTCTAACTAAGAATGTTCAGCTTGAAACCTAAATGGTACAGAGGAACAAAAATGTGACTTAGTCAGTCCATGCTGATTCTGCTGGTTATTTCTTATTTTGATATAATGATTGGATAGGATTTAATGGTGTCAATACTTACTAAGACAAAGTTGTACTTGAGAAGTTATTGCCTTAATGGTTAAACTTTTAACATGTACTAGGTTTATATGAAATCTCCTTTAGAAAGTGATTCAAGGCTTGATATTCTCTGGAATGGTAAAAGGGAAAGCAACAAAGGCCACTGAGATCAGACTTTGTTAACTATATTTTTCTCATGGTAGTAGGAGATTGAGTTTTCAAGATGTTCAGCACACTGCTTTGAGGAAGATCTTCAGAACTAGTGAAAATTATTCTTTGAAGCTAAACCTGAAACTGGCCTCAAATTAGTTTGCTCTAAGGTGGAAGGTGTCATATCCATCCTTTTATTTCTTTTTGACATATCTCTTAAGGTTTTATCCATGTCCATGAGATTTTATTATTGCAACCAGTGGGAATCCAATAATGGTTTGTTTTTGCCTTGTACCTTTCTTCTCATTTGGCTCCAGATGTTAATTTCAATACCAAAGTGCGTGAGTTATGTGTTTGTTTTAATTGATTTATGGCTTTGGAAAGATACTGCTATTGAATGATATTTCATGCTCCTGAAAATCGGGGAGACTTGGCTTTTATCATTTGTTCATAGTGGATGGAATATGTAATCACTATGTCAGTATTGGTAACATTTACCTCATTGAGTATTCATTAAGTTAGTGGGTAGTAGGGTATTTGTCCATTTACTACTAGCCTGGATCCAGACACTAAGGCATGGGTTTGAGACAGCAGATTGTGCAGAAAATCTTTCAAGAGTGATAAAACATGGAGAGGGATGAACTACCACTTGTCACTGTAGCACATTCATGGTCACTGTTATGCCTCTGCCCCTACTTAGATGATGATTAAGATATTCTTTGGTAATGTGAATGCAACAGATCTTTGTAACAAATGATGCAAGGCTTGGCTATGAACTTTTCTAGATAATGACCTCATGCTCAGTATGGAGCAATTCTATTGTGCCTATAATGTTTGGGATCCATTTTTCACATGGTAAGTAGTGATATTAGTGTGGTGAAGTGATGGCTAGTTGCTTGGGCCTCCCTAGTTGATGCAACGACTAATCTCTACTTAGGCATTGATTGGTCAACCACAAAAAAAAAATATGTTCTAAATATTTGATATTGATATAATCTTGTATATAAGTTAATATAAACTGTAAATGCTCGATAAAAGAATGATGTAGAACTTTTACTTTACAATCTTTATTAGAATGGAAAAGGAAGGCTGGATAGGCTAGGATAGTGAGTTACAACCTCTTTTTGTTTTCAGAGGAAGAGAGTAATCTTGATTATTTACTGTGTCCTTTTATTGATGACAACTCCATAGTCTATACCAACAGACCAATGATTGGAAGAAAACTCAAAAGAACTCCTCTATTGTCTTCTTTCATTACATGCCTTATATCTATTTATACAACATAAGCCAATCATGTACCATTATGATTAACGCAACAAGCAAGGATGCATGAAAATAAAAGCATAAATGATATTATTTCAATTAATTGCAGTAAAGACAAACCAATTAAGTTTTAATATGATTTTATGGTTGAAGAATCTAATTGGTGCTTACTTGTCGTCTTGTCCCAAGTGGCTGCATCATGAGTATCAAGTTCATGCTTTACAAAGTTACTTACCAAACTCGTATTTTGCACATGATCTTGATGATTCCCAATCATTTCCATTTTAATTTATGTCTCTTTGAACCATATATTTTCTTGAAGTGGTTATTGAACAGAATGAAGGATTTATCATATATCATTGCTTGCAAATGGAACTAGAGCAAATGCTATGTAAATATTGACTCTTCTTGTTATTTGTTAGTAAACTCTAGGGGTGGATATGAGCCGAACCGAATATCTAGCTATTCAAGCTTGGCTTGCCAAGCTCAAGCTTGATTTTGAGCCAAATATTTTATAAAAATAATATATATATATATAATTATTTTTTAATTAACATATAAAAAGTTAAGAATTATAAAAATTAGTTATTATTAAATACATAAAAATAAAAATATTATATATATAATATTTTTTATTATGTATAATATTTTGATATGTGTTATTTTTTCTATGTATAATATATATTATTTTTTCTAAGGAGCTGAGCTTTATTGGGCTCGAGCTCGGCTCGTGGCCACCCCTACTAAACTCTATTGGACTTTCTCTTCTTCCACTGGGGAAGGAAGAGGAGTCATGTCAGTTCCTCAATAACCATAATTGCAGAAAGGAGGGGAGACTTCTTTAAACCGAAGATCTTACTTTAGGAAACATGTATTGTACTCATTTTTTAAATTTCTAAATCATGTTCCTAATTTTTTTTTGATAGGTACATGTTCTTAATTTTTTTTTTGATAAATGAGAGTAGTTTTATCAATTCAAAAAATAGTAGTACATTCAGCCTAGGAAGAGGCACGAGGTGTTACCTCCCCCTAGGACTGAGTCATAAACACTAAACAAACACAAGCCTGAAACACAGTTACACAGTTTTATTTTACGGTATGTTTTTTACAATAAATTTCAGCGTTTAGGAAACCGGACTAGACAGGCTGGTCAAACTGGTTGAACCAATGATTTGGGCCTATATCCGGTTTGGTTATACCCTAGAAACTGGAATAGGTAGAAAACTGCCCAAAACTGGCTGACCATCCGGTTTTATTGGAAAACCAGTGAACCGGTCCCGGTTTCCTAAAACTGCCCGCGCCTCAAATGTGTGGAATTTTCAAAATGCAAATCATAGTTTTCAAGGCGCCAAGGCCAGGCTAGGCGACAGGGGGGCGCCTTGTCTCCTAGGCGGGTGCCTGGGTGTCACCTAGGGCCTAGGCAATGGATCTTTTATGTAGATAACATAGATCCTAGGGTAGTTCCCTAGGTACCATAACCATATTTCCTTAATAATTATTCATAATTTTCATAAGAAAAGTATAGAGTTCATGTTAAAGTATAGAAAATCAACATATTAATGAGAAGAAAAAGAAGACAAAAAAGAAAACAAAAAAATATAGGGGCTGAACCCTTATTTTTGTAATTTTGTTATAGGAAAAGAAGAAAGGAAAAAGTAGTAGTAGTAGAAAATGTGTTGATTAGACAAAATTTTAAGTTCTTCCTTACTGATTGGTTCAGGATTTAAAGTCTTTGAGGATTCAACACAGCATTTATCAATGTTTGTATTGATTAAACCCTAACAAATAAGAAAATAATAAAAAGAAATTAGTATATAAGCACAAAAAATGAATATTTTAGTTTAATAGCGCCTATTTTATAATTATAATGTAAAAATTAAAGAATAAAAAAGCATTTTATAATACATAGTACAAAACTGCTTGGCGATTAGGCGAGGCAAGCCTCAAAGGGCGCCTTGTCGCCTTGGCAACTATGATGCAAATAGCAAGATTCAAATCCATGACCTTCTTCCATGCATATTGTCCTGTTACCATTAATTCACTTCACTATTTGTGTTCATTTATGAATCTTTAATGTACATTTTTTTTTGATAAATGAGAATAGTTTTATTAATTCAAATAACAACAATACAGTCAGCCTAGGAGGCACGTGGTGTTACCACCCTCTAGGACTGAACCATAACCACTGAACATACATCAGCCTGAAGCACAATTATAAATTGGCCCAAAACAGATTTCCCCTTGACACCCCTTGCTTGGCCAGAGAATCAGCCATTGCATTTGCTGATCTGTTGACCCACTGAAACCTGACTGACATATTTCTTGTCAGCCATTTAACTTTCTTTAACAGATCCCTGTATCCCCAACA